CACAAATATATGTATTTTCGATTCTTATCACATAACTTTGTATAAGTAACAATTTATGCAATATAGTTCAAAATAATTGAAATATATGGTATAAATGTACATATATAAAATATATAATTATATTATAGTATACATATATATATATTTTATTTAATCATATATGTAAATGTTTGTATAATTGTAATAACTTTTAACGATACATTGCACATTTATTTCAATTGCAACAGAATGAATTTATATTTTTGTATGAATATTGAAAATAAAGAATGGGCCCCTCCATCGCCCATTCTCGTGAGAACGCAACCATATATTTTTCTTCGTCTCTCCGATTTTAACACGACATACATATTTCTGTCTGATAATTTTTTTCTGGATGATACTTTTTGAAATGTCATGAAGCCTAGGTCAAATTAGAAACTTATTGCACTTGTTTTAATGCAGCGCTTACAGCAGCTTTTATAAAGCGCCAGAGCAGCCGATATTTTATTTTGGCGCTTACGGCAACTTTTATACAGCGCCATTATTTAATCTGTTCTAAGAACAATATGTATGCCCCTTGTGCTTCTTTGGGCCATTTTTTCTTGAACACTTCCATATCATTAGAGTAATACCATTCCGATTTTGTGTCAGCTCTTAACATACATGTGTAGTGACCACGATTCATTTCTTCACCTTCGTGAAATATAGCGCTTATTACCTTGTACTTTTTTTTATTAATCGTGATATTACTCGTCGGCACGGCGTTAATCCGATTGTTGATAATTTTTTTAGAAGCACCGTTTATCGTTTCCCATTTAGAAAATTCTACATTAATCAAACTTTGTAGAGTGACACCTTTTTTCCTTTTTAATGTCGAATGTATAGGTAATATTAGCAAACTACTGCTTTCCTGCTTAGTTACATTGTAATTACATTTGACATTCGAGCAACATGTTACGTGCTTTAATTCGAGTTCTAATACATCATTGATGTCGGAATACGTCGACATTAGAGCCGTAAAAAATTCCGAAACATCTTGTTGTGTTCGTTCTTCGAAGCGTTTTCCGACAGATCTTCTAACCGCTTGAATGTTGCAATATTTACGTTCACCATACGCGCAGATAGCATCAGTCAATGCATTCGATGCTTTATTTTTCAGTATTTGTTGCCTAATACGTACGCAATGAAACGCACATTGTAATATTACATTAGCGTAACACGAAACAGCATCGTTATTGCAAAGGCCATATATTTTCCACGTAACTATACTTTCTGGTTCCTCACAATCATAATTCTGCACATCATCAATGATATTAGGGATAGCCCATCGACGATCGTACATTTTCACAACCTTTTTCTCGGACGGATTGATTTGTGGCAGTTCAGATTTGAATATAGATCTCAGTCAATTATATTCTACAATGGCTCTCGAGTTTGCTTTAACTGATGCTGGATTGAAATTTATCAAATGTAGGCCTTCCAATTTACTTACTCGTGACAAACCTACATAGGCTTGACCATCACTGAATACAGTCATTCCTAAATCCATCATTGCATTGTTACATGTAATTCCTTGACTTTTGTGTATAGTTATTCCATAACTGAGAGACAATGGAAATTGTTTCCGATGTACCACTAATTTGTGGAATACTTCAAATTTAATATCTACTTTCGTTATTGCGATTTCTTTGTTATCCGAAATAACTATTTTGATGGAATCAATACGATTGCCGTCAGCAGAGCGATTAACCTAACGCGAAAATCGATTAATTATTTTTTTCGTTCAAGTACATTTAACAGCAAAAACTGCATATACGTAGGTATGTATTTAACTCTACTGCCATTACTTGAAACAAATACATTACTCGATATTAACAAATTGGAACTCTGGAATTACGAGTAATTATTTTTCATTGTACAGACTAGGTTTAAATTTTTGAAGACCTTCTTTTGAACATGGCTTGACCTTTTCATTTTTATGATTTTTTGGAGATAGGGTGAGAGAGGACGAATGAGGGTAAGAGAAGACGAGATAGGCGAAAGAGGGTGAAAAAGGACGAAATTGGGTGAAAGAGGGCGAAAGAGGACGAAAGAGGACGAAAGAGGGTGAAAGAGGACGAAAGAGGGTGAAAGAGGGTGAGAGAGAGAAAGAGAGTGAAAGAGAGAGAAAGAGGACGAAAGAGGGTGAGAGAGGGCGAAAGAGGGTGAGAAGAATAAAAGAGGGTTAGAGAGGACGAAAGAGAGTGAAAGAGGACGAAAGAGGGTGAGAGGGAATGAAAGAGAGTGAAAGAAGACGAAACAGGGTGAAAGAGGGTGAGAGGGAATGAAAGAGGGTGAGAGAGAATGAAAGAGGGTGAAAGAGGATGAAAGAGGGTGAAAGAGGACGAAAGAGGGTGAAAGAGGACGAAAGAGGGTGAAAAAGAGGGTGAAAAGAGGGTGAGAAGAGGGTGAGACGAAAGAGGGTGAGGTAGGACGAAAGAGGGTGAAAGAGGACGAAAGAGGGTGAGAGGACGAAAGAGGGTGAAAGAGGACGAGAGAGGGTGAAAGAGGACGAAAGAGAGTGAAAGAGGACGAAAGGGGGTAAGAGGGAATGAAAGAGGGTGAGAGGGAATGAAAGAGAGTGAGAGAGGACGAAAGAGGGTGAAAGAGGCGAAAAATGGTGATGAAAGAGGACGAAAGAGGGTGAAAGAGGACGAAAGAGGGTGAAAGAGGACGAAAGAAGATGAAAGAGGGCGAAAGAGGGTGAAAGAGGACGAAAGAGGGTGAAAGAGGGTGAAAGAGGACGAAAGAGAGTGAAAGAGGGTGAGAGAGGACGAAAGAGGGTGAAAGAGGCGAAAAAGGGGTGGAAGTAGGGGTGGGAGTGGGGGTGGGGGGGGGGGGTGGGGGCGGGATGTGGGGGGGAACGGGTGGGTGGAAGTTGAGGGAGGTGTGAGTGAAAGGTGAGAAGAGATTTATATATATATATAATCCTGATGACGTCAGCGGACGCGGACAGAGAAGAAGAAGAAGACGACGTTACTTCATTTTTCATGAAAAACGTCACTTTTTGACCGCTTGTATCTCCAGAACGGCTTGACCGATTTTATTTTTCTTGGCTCAAATTACTCGTGGCGATGCCGCCTTTCAGGTTATATTACGTGCAATTCAAAATTTTTATATTTTAGTAGTTCTACACCCCCAAAAATGGACTTTGATGGTGCAGAATAAGGAGACTTGTAGTGTCTTTTAAGGTCTTTTAGGGTTTGAACATGGCCGGAGACACTACCGCGTCTCCTAATAAATAATAGAAATATTATAATCACATTACAAATTTTGCGAGTCAATCAAGTAATGACACATTCAACACTCGGCGGTAATGAAATCGCGCGATTACCCGTTGCATGTCAAAACAAGAGTACGAATTGTTTTGAAAATAAGTACATTATAGGCAGAATAATAGGTACACAAAAGAAACAATACATAAACCAATAAAGTAGTGCGTCTATATGTGCGTCTAATATAGTTTTTCCCGAATGATGTTTGATGTTATAACTAAATTCCTCTAGCTGTAAAGCCCATGCACGCATAAATCTTTTTTTACTTATGATTAAACTGAACGTTTTACAATCTGTTATTATTTTAAAGGATATACCTATTAAATACACGCGGAACTTTTTCAAAGGTTTTATAATTGCAAGCACATTGAGCTCATAGCTACTGTATTTTTCTTCCGCCGAAGTCATACGGCTGCTTACATAATATACGGGATGCAATAGATTATTGTCATATTGTAATAAAATAGCGCTATAGCCGTATTTTGACGCATCGGTATGAAGTTCGATGGTCTGACGTTTATTTTAGGATATTTTAAGAATAAGTTTATTCACCAGAGCAACTTTTATCTTGTTAAACGCATTTCTTTATTTTCCCTCAAATTGGAAAACAACATTCTTTTTTCCCAATAGGTTGACCAAGGTCCGCGCAATAAATGAATAACCACTAATACATTTTCGGAAATAACCGGATAAACCCAAAGCTCTTTGAACTTGCTTTATATTTCTCGGCTCGGGAAATCTCGTAACCGCGTCTATTTTCGCTTCCGACGGTTCCAATTCTATTTCCTGTCCCAGAAATTCTACTTTTGTTTTTAAAAAATAGCATTTATTCCAGTTGCTAGTCCGGATTTACTCGCCCTGTTACTCCGCTTAAGTTTTTCTAAAACCTTCCCGTAATTTTCAGACGACACAATAGTCGTCCATGTATGTCAGTTAATAAAATCTTGAAAAGTAACGTTTACAAATTTTTGAAAAACTGTCGGTAAATTGCACAAGCCAAATGGCATTTTTAAAAATTCGTACCTAGTCCATCAGACGTAATAAATTCCGTATATTTGCGGCTATCTTCGTATACTTTGACATGAAAAAATCCATTTTCAAGATCTAAGGTAGTAAAGATTTTCGCATTCTGCAGCCGATCCAGCTGATCATCGATCAGCGCGGCAGGCGATAGCAGTCTTTTACAATCTTTTGATTTAGTCGCCGGTAATCTACGCATAATCGATACGCCGTTCCTTTTTTTTTACCAAGATCACGGGGCTCGCATATCAAGAGACACGGTAGTGTCTCGCGCCAAGTCAAAAAACGACGCTTTGCGCAGCGAGGCACACCGTGTATTATAACGCGAGTCTGACATCTGAGAACATCATATATTTCAATTATGCAATAACGGCTGAAGCGATCGAGTTCTTATTATGCTCAATTGATAGATTAGGTTTGAATTACAAAAGAAAGTGCCTTTATTTTTTCTCTATGTGCTTTATTAACGGAGATATTATAATCTAAACTTTGTTTTTCTTAAAAATTGTTATAAATTTTGGTCGTCGTCGTCGACCTTCTCAATGCGCATGTATTTGAAAATGTCCATTTCGAGCATTCATTGCAAGATAGCGTTGATGTCGCTCCATGAATGATGTTTTGACACATTGTGATTGACACATAGGTTCAGTTTAACCTACATACATAAATTGAATCTTTTGATTTAGTTATTACCAAATTAATTATAAAACTAATTCTTATTCTTTTCAGGGAAATATTGTATTCATAAATACACATATGAATTTTTGTGCTGGTATCTTGATATCTTACACAAAACTATGCAAATTTAAATATAAACTCTTATCTCAAGTTGAATATATGAGTGAAAAATCTAATAATACGTGGATACTAAATCCAAAATTAGGTACAATTTATAATCTGTTTTATGGTGGTATGTGGCAAAAACCTATCGATGATATATATTGGGAACACAATGGTATTTTACTGGCAAATGCAACAAGGTACAGATATACACACATTTCTCTGACATTATTTTATAACTTTTAAAATTAAAAAAATTTAATAACATTACATTAAACATTTATAACTTAATCGATTAATATATATACATATATAATATTGTAGAGGAGATTTTGAGAAATGTGTTGAGTTAGCTACAGAAGGATTTAGAATCTGGACAGAAAAGTCTATTGATTCTAAAATATGTATATTATCCAAGCTTACGTCAATATTACAAACTAAGTACGTGTACACAAGTAATTTACACAAATTATTGAAGTTTTTATATTTCTTAATTTTTATTTAATACTATTCATATATTTGATAATTTTATAAATATTTCCTTCTTTTCTTTCTCTTATAGTGAACCTTTATTAGCGAATGAAATATCTCATTGGATAAAATTGGCATATTACTATAAGAATCACGTGAATTGTCATCAGAATGACAAATTTGAAGTAACAAAAATTCGTATACCAAAAGGTGTCATTTTTCTTGAAAAGAAAGATGCAGTTACTCTATTTCGCGAGTTAACACAATGTTTAATTACTGGCAATGCTGTCATTGTGATATGTAATCCAGATGTGTGCACTCTAGTAAAATATTGTGACATATTTTCAACAGCAACAATACCATCGGGTGTTATAAATCTCATTTCAAGTTAAATTATAGCCTACATGAACTATGAGAAAATTCTCGAAAAATCAAAGCCAAATTCAATATATGAACAACTTACTACAACCAAGCATATTGTACTTTGCCTTAAGTAAAATTGATAACGTAGCATATATATGAATTACAATAATTCAAGAGTTACCGAGTTAAAAATATATATATATTGTATAAACAAATTGTATAAACATGTTTACATATCAGTGATTATAATTTTCGATTTCTTTTGTTAGCAAATTAATTTTTTTCAATAAAATTTTTTGTATAGAAAATCAAATAAATTTTCTCGCAAATCCTTGTATATTTTCTTATAACGCAATTAATTATAAAAGATTAAATAATTATTATTTGTTAATATGTCAAGATTATACATCTCTCTCTCTCTCCCTCTCTTTTTCTCCCCCCTCTCCCTCTCTCCCGAAACCTACCTCTCCCTTCCTCTCCCTCTCTCTCCCGTTTCCTCGCTCCCTCGCTCCTCGCTCTCTCTCTCTCTCTCTCTCTCTCTCTCTATCTCTGCTCTCTCTCTCTCTTCTCTCCCTCCCTCTCTCACTTTCTCTCCCTCTCCTCTTCTCCCTCCCTTTTTCTCTCTTTCTCTCTCCTTCTCTCTTTCTCCCTCTTCCTCTCGCTCTCTCTCTCTCTCCCCTCCTTTCTATCATACATACATTTATATCATGCAGTAACACAAGTTATAGATAGATAGATATAGATAGATAGATAAAGAGAGAGAGAGAGAGAGGGAAAAAGAGGGGGAGAAAGAGGGGGGAGAGAGAGAGAGAGCTAATGTGTATATTGATATATACTGTATATATATTGATATATAATTACATTTATTACATTAATAAAAATACATTAATAATAATTACAATATAGTTTCTTTTATAATATAATTATTTATTATAATAACATTACATTTATTTATATAGCTGCTATATAACATGTGTAATTAACGTAAATGTTAAATATTAAGTACATATTAGTTGTAATTTCCCATCGTAAAAGTAATATTTTGTAATATAACATATGTTACATTATAGTTATATTACAATAATTATATTCCAGATAACATAATAACTTATCGAAAGATTATTTTCAGCATCCTACTATATCTATCGATGAGTTACAATGATATCTAAGATGTAATTACAATACAACTACAATGTAACATATGTTATAATACAAAAGTTATATATATAAATGAGAAATTACTATTAATGTGTACTTTACATGTAACATTCACGTTAACTACACGTTATATAGCAGCTATATATATTTTACATGTTAATATATATAGTATTTCCTCGTCCGTGTCCGCGGCCGCGTGCGCGGCCACGTCCGCGTCCTCGACCACGTCCCCGTCGGTTTCCCCGTGACCATCGGGCAGTTTTATATTACTGTAACAAAATTTATATAAAAATATCTATGTATATATTTCAATCTTTCTATATAATATAATTGTTTAATTAATTTTTATACTTACGTAAAGCATTCTTTTTGGGGGGGTTAAGGATATTAGCCACTACTGCAGGCTGTTGAGGTTGCGGAGCAGTTGGTGGAATTTCTGCATGAGCAGCTAGTGGAGCCTCTGCCTGAGTAGCTTGTGGAACATTTGCCTGTGCAGCTGGTGGAATCTCTGCCTGCGCAGCTTGTTTTGCAGCGGCCAATTGCTGCTGCAAATCTTGAATTTCAATTTTTAATATTTCATTTTCCATAATGATATTGTAGTCATCGTCACACTAAAAAAGTAGAAATAAAAATTAAATTAATAATTTTATGAATTTCTCTATAAATCTGTTTATGAACTAACTGCACTAGTTCAAAGATTGTCTTTTTTACTCAACATTGGAAGGAAAAATGTAACCTCTGAACTATTGCAACCAGTTCAGTCAAAACACATAGATCTGATATGTTTATATGTACACACAACAACAAAAATGTTTGAATAAATTTATGCACACATTGCAGCATATAGGAAATACAAATATATTTCGATATCTGTGTAAAATTGTGTTAAACCATTTATGTTGCCATGTGATGAGAACATATAATATAGAGAAACGTATTATAATTAATAAAATAGAAATCTACTTACTTCTTGAATCACTTTGTTCTTTTTTTTAGCATTCGGCATTTTCTTTTCTTTATCTTGACTCATTTTAAATAAATATAATATCACTGCGTGCGAGCTTGCAAGACGAGTATACAATAGATGCCGGTCTGCGGTTAATGAGACAAGAAAACGTCGGCACTTTTGTCAATTTCGATATAGTATACTGCCCGTCTTGCAAGCTCGCAGTGATATTATATTTATTTAAAATGAGTAAAGATAAAGAAAAGAAAACGCCGAATACTAAAGAAAAGAGCACAAAAATTCAAGAAGTAAGTAGATTTCCAATTTATTAATTTATAATATGTTCTCATTATACGACAACATGAATGGCTTAACAAAATTTTACGCACATATCGGAATATATTTACATTTTCTATATGCTCCAATGTGTGTATAAATTTATTAAAACATTCCTGTTGTAGGTATACAAACATTGGACCTTTGTTTTGACTGTACTGGTTGCACTAGTTCAGAGGTTATATTTTTATTCCAATGTTGAGTAAAAAAGACAACCTCTTAACTAGTGCAGCCAGTTCATGAACAGATTTATAGAGATTCACAAAATTATTAATTTCATTTTTATTTTTTTAGTGTGACGATGACTACAATCTCATCGTGACTGAAAACCAAAAATTAAAAATTAAAATGCAGGAATTGCAGCGTCAGTTGGCTGCTGCAAAACAAGCTGCACAGGCAGAGATTCCACCAGTGGCACAAGCAAAGGTTCCACAAGCTACTCAGGCAGAAGCTCCACCAGCTGCTGATGCAGAAATTCCATTAGCTGCTCCGCAACCTCAACAGCCTGCAGTAGTGGCTAATATCCTTAACCCCCCCAAAAAGAATGCTTTACGTAAGTATAAAAAATTAATTAAACAAATATATTATATAGAAAGATTGAAATATATACATAAATATTTATATATAAATTTTGTTACAGTAATATATAAAACTGTTCGATGGTCACGGGCAGGAAACCGACGGGGACGTGGTCGAGGACGCGGAAGTAACCGCGGACGCGGACGTGGCCGCGGACACGGACGAGGAAATACTATATATATTAACATGTAAAATATATATAGCTGCTATATAACGTGCAGTTAACGTGAATGTTACATGTAAAGTACACATTAATAGTAATTTCTCATTTATATATGTAATTTTTGTATCATAACATATGTTACATTGTAGTTGTATTGTAATTACATCTCAGATATCATTGTAACTCATCGATAGATATAGTAGGATGCTGAAAATAATCTTTCGATAAGTTATTATGTTATCTGGAATATAATTATTGTAATATAACTATAATGTAACATATGTTATATTACAAAATGTTACTTTTATAAATGTGAAATTATAACTAATGTGTCCTTAACATGTAACATTCACGTCAGTTAAACATGTTATATAGCAGCTATATAAATAAATAAATGTAATCATGTTATAATAAATAATTATATTATATGATAAATAAAGATAATTGTATTAATAAATATATATATTAAAAAACATAAATTCAATTTTTTAAATATTTATTTTGGTTGGTATTACAAAAACAATTTACAAAATACTGTTATATAACATGTGTAACTAACGTAAATGTTACATGTTACACACATTAGTTATAATTTTCAAGTTATAAAAGTAACATTTTGTAATATAACATATGTTACATTGTAGTTATATTATAATAATTATATTCCAGATAGCACAATAACTTATCAAAAGATTACTTTCAACATCCTACAATATCTATCGATGAGTTACAGTGCTATCTGGAATGTAATTACAATACAATTACAATGTAACATATGTTATAATACAAAAGTTTATGTATAAATGAGAAATTACAACTAATGTGTATTTTACATGTAACATTCACATTAATTACATGTTATATAGCAGCTATATAAATTTTACATAAATATATATATTGTTTTTTCTCGTCCGCGTCCGCGTCCCCGTCGGTTTCCTGTTATTGATCATCGGGTAGTTTTATATTTTACTGTAACAAAAATTTTATTGTGTGTAAATATGTATGTATATATTTCTATCTTTTTATATAATATAATTGTATATATAATTTTTTGTACTTACGGAAAGCATTCTCTTGTGGGGGGTTAACAATATTAGCCACCACTGCAGGCTTTGGTGTATATTGAAATTGATTCTAGTTTTTCGATCGTCTGGTGATATCTTTAATCCGCGATGCCGATTGGTTTCGTCAGCGTTTACTTCGTGAGCGGCTGTCATTGCATATTTTGACAGTTGTATGTATCGAGGGGTTAGTGTAGTGATAGTAATGTATATTAAAAGATTTGGTGTATCTAATAGTTATAAAATCTGATAAATAATTGTTTATTAATTTTGTGATTGAGTAATTTGACTACAGTTTCTCAGTTAGAAAGGGAAATAGAAATTTATATCAAGGTATGTTTGAGAAATATACGTAATTTATGTATGTAGATTTTCTATAATCCCTATAAAAAATTAAAGGCGTTACGCCTCTCAATATACTTGTAATATTTTAGAGTTTAATATTTTATTGTTTTAACCATTATTATTTGATTTAATTAATTTATTATGTATAATAACTGTCTTCTGTTCTTCACAATAATTCTTCAAGAAATCTTTTATTCAGGAAAAGGAAATTCGTTCTCAAGAGGACAGGATAGAAGAAAGCTGAAATAAACAACAAGACTGAAAAAAAGGAAATCGAATACCTCCCATACAGCACAGATTATTGCAATTATATTGCAGCAACGTTGCAATGTTGCAAGTTGCAATGCAACATTATAAAGACATTGCAGAGATATAAGTGCACAAAATTCCAGCACACTTGTAGCAACATGACATTAATATTTCGGAAATATTGCATGTAATCCAAATTCTATAATTT